ATTTATTAAACACTGTACCACATTTAATAATTGTCCATTAAGAATACCATGACAGGGTATATATTAAGATAAATATAATCATTTTTTTCTTCACAATTTATAATGAGCCCTACCTAAGAAGCCCATGTTCGTGAATTTAAAAGCTTAAATAAAATCTGAGAGTGCTTCTTACTAAAACTGCTAATTAAATCAAGTCTGCCATTCTTCCATCAGTAATCCAAACAACAGACAGCAAGACAAAGCCCTACTATTGTCACTATCACAAAACCACCTCACTAAAGAAGTGAAAATCAATATGTATACTTGCTGCCTAAGACCTATAAAAATTTTTATAAACCTAACCAGTTCTCTAAAGGTGAATATAAAGTTATAATTATTATTTAACTCATAATTGCAATATTAATCTAAAAATTTTAAACTTGAGCTTTTAAAATATTTACCTTAAAAAAACCACTAACATAAATTCAAACCAAATTTGTTTTAAAATAGCATTAGCTTTTTAATCACCTTCCTGATCTCAAGTATTTACAAACATGAAAATGTTACCTGACTTAGCTTTTAACACAATCTGCAGAAATATGTTCCAAACTGGTTGTATAAACTGCTTAAAAGTTTTCCTGTGATGGCAATATGTCCAATGAATGATTCTACAGTCCTTACTAGTTTACTCATAGCCTTTAAAATAAGTGAAAATGTAAGCAGAAAATAGGTAAGTAAGAAGAAGATAGATTGGTACTAGGCAAACTTTTGATTAAAAGACAAAATAGTCTCAAACAAATGGTTTGGCATTTGGCCATTTAAAAAATAATAAACAATTAATACCAGTGGGAGAAAAAAAAAGTCAAGAATATAGTACAGAACTTCCTCGCTAGCAAGTTTGGCTCAGTGGATAGAGTGTCAACCTGCGGAATGAAGGTTCCCTGGTTCGATTCCAGAATAGGGCACATGCCCAGGTTACAGGTTCAATCCCCAGTAGGGGACGTGTAGGAAGCAGCTGATCAATGATTCTCATCGTTGATCTCTCCCCCCATCTCCCTTCTGCTCTGAAATTTAAAAAAAAAAAAAAAAGAATATATAGAACTTCCAAATTGTTCTATTATGAAGAAAAAAGCTGATTAGATTTTTACTTAAATCTATCCTATATAATAAAAGCCTAATATGCTAAGTGTCCAGTTGGCCGGTCAGCCGTTCAACCAATCAAAGCGCAATATGCTGATATGCTAAGGCCGCTCAACCTCTCACTGTGACATGCACTGACCACCAGGGGACAGACGCTCCGACCAGCAGGTTAGCTTACTGCTAGGGTCTGGCAAATAGGGACTGAGCGAGCCGGGCCAGACACGCCCTGGAACCCTCCCGCAGTCCCTCCCTGGCTGGCCAACTTCCTGTGCCCCTCCCCAGCCCCGATCGAGCACCAGTGGGGTCCCTCGGCCTGGCCTGCGCCCCCTCGCAATCTGGGACCCCTCGGGGGATGTCGGAGAGCCAGTTTCAGCCTGATGGCAAAACGACCAGTCGCTATGACGTGCACTGGCCACCAGGGTCAGACGCTCAACACAGGAGCTGCTCCCTGGTGGTCAGTGCGCTCCCATAGGGGAGTGCCCCTCAGCCAGAAGCCGGCTCACAGCTGGCAAGCGCAGCCATGGGTGGCAGGAGCCTCCGCCTGCCTTCTTGGTAGTGCTAAGGATGGTCCGACTGCCAGCTATC